CATCTCATGCATGATCTTTTCAGAGCACGGGTCGGGAAGCATCAGAGAGACTACTCCAGTCTTCCCATTCATTCCCATCCTTCTTCTCCCTAAGTATTGAAACTTTTGTTGGTCGTTTTTGCTGCCTTAAGTCGTCCTCTTTTTACCGAAGTTCTGTCCTTTACGACAATTCTATCTTTGCGGAGGGCTTGCTAAGGGAGGCGGCAAGGGCCAACGAAAGGGTGAAAACGAAAGACCTTTTCTGGTTCCACTACCTATCTGATGAGGTTTTACGGGGGATCCTTTGACCGACCTGATGCTTTACCTCACCCTATCTTGTTGTCTTAGCTCCACAGCAAGCAGATTGCTTCCTCTGTTGTCGTCGGGGAGCTCAATGAGAGTTGCCCAAAATGGTACTAACATGAAGGAAAAAAATTTTCTTTCAACGATTGGTTTCTTACCCAGTGATTCGAGAGATCCATAGACATGGCCACTACTAGCATACGATCATTGGCTTCTTGGATCAGTTCCTCATATTTCTGAACCAATCAAGATAGTTTGCATTTTAGAAAGAGGAAGACCCAAAGAGATCTCCCTAAAGAGTCCAATATAATAGACGCTATCTAATTAAGATTTTCAGTTTGCCACGGGTTAACGACATAAAGTGCGGGGCAACAGCCTTTGACGCACCACACCATTGCGATAGGAGGGGAGTTAGGGAACCATACGTGAGATTTCCATATCATAGGGCTCCTTTCAAGTTGTAGATAGTTCCCAGGTTGTTTCCTCTCTTCCATTGCTTCAGTTCATAATCTTAAGGAGACTAGTTCTTAGGCAGATCCTGCACCTAAACATAAGGGATAGGGTTCCTGGGGCCAGACCTACCATATCAAAAGGGTTGTAGAAAAAGAACCTGACCACCTATTTCATTCGACGTTCTGAGGCTCCTCTCTTCCATTGCTTCACTTCATAATCATAAGGAAACTAGGTTATTCTCATTCCTGCGCTCTTTACTTTTCTTTGAGCTAGCCAAGTCCAAGGAAGACGGATTGGATCGAGAGTCTGCATAACCTTAAAAAAGACTAAGCTAATAAATTATCATCTTTTGTCGCATCAAAATGATGAGACATAATCCAATTATCGCATCAAGCAACCAAATAACTCATTAACACATTTTGATAAGACTCATTTGCATCATATAGATGAAAGCATAATTTCCTTGTATCACATGGGTGAAATAACCCCATATCCTCGCAACACACTGGTGCGAGGACCTCATCTCATCGCATCACATTGGTGCGATAAACTCAACTTATCGCATCACAGTGGTGCAATAAGTTAATTTATCGTATCACAAGGATGTGACAAACATACTCCTTGCATCACAAGGATTCGATAACCACATTTCATCGCATCAATAGAATGCGATACCTTTAAGTCATCGCATGACACCGATGTGACAACTCCAAGTAATCGCATCATAAGGAAGCGATAACGAAGAACATTTTGATCAAAAACCCATATTTTATATCTCAATGGTTATGCTACCCTTATCCTGGTATACACCTCTGCTTGGCCACCTTTATTCCAATATACACCTCTCATTGATATGTCACCCTTATAACCAAAATACACATCTCCTTGATATGACATCATTATTTCAACACATGATATAACATATCAAACTTTCACTATTATGCTAATTATAGCATCCAAAAATAGTTTTATAATCATCCTCATATAAAGAACAATATGGTTCTAATTTCAATTACCAACTAAGAAAAGTTTATAATAATAAACGCACCTTAATCACAAAGAGATGAAATTATGGAGATGAACAACAACAATTTATCCAGATAATTTTCACATAATCAATTCTTCTAATCTCCCTTCGTTCTCTTTTCTTCTAGTCTAAAAAGAACATACAGAAAGCTCCCTTTTCTCTTAACTCCCAAAATCAATGAAATATAATAAATATCTCATATTATATATCCATATTTAAGCAATAAGAGGCGGTGGGATAGTTCTTTTTAATATTTAAGTATATCAAAACATCAATCCCCTCACAATTTGCTACCATTTACCAAAAGCAACCCTGGGCTTTATAACCGAATAACCGGCTATCACACTTAATGGCCAAATAGGATATATCACTGTGGGGAACCATCAATCACCTTACTCTTATGGCCACAGTTTACCCAATATGACAACCACCTCATTCTTGGGGCCAGAGTTTACACAATATGACAATCACATCTCAGGCACGAATATTTGGGCATTAGATCTAGCTTATGTTTGAGTTTTAACCCAAGGCCACAAGTTCCACAAGATCGACCATACGTACTTCCTCAAGCTCGGATCGGGTTTTCCACACTTTTTAGGGGTTGTGGATTACCTCCGCCATTGCCCATTACAATGTGCCACTAAGGATCATTACATCACAATATCGACTAGTTTATGGAATTCAAGATTACAAACAATATTACGTACAAAGATCAAGTTACATATGTCATCGATGCTAATTGAGGATTTCCCGTTTTGGCTTATGTCCAACAACTAGTAAATCTAGTAAATCCGATGAACATGTCATTCTTGCTTACAATCGTTTGCTAATATATCTTTCAAATATCGCCATTAGCTTTATAGTATAAAGATTTGCCTTACGTAGCAAGCCGTGTGGATCCAATGAAGGAAGAACAGAAAGAAACCAGCTAGATTCAATGTTCCACCAACTTCCATCAAACACCATACCCGATCCTTAAAGTCTTGAGATGAAACCGAATCATATTCAGTTAAATCAATTGAGAAGATGAAGTTGGAAAGAATGTTAAAAGAATAATTAAATATCTTTTTAACTATATATTGGTCATATCATAATCATCCTATTCTATATGAACTGAAATCGCAATGATAAAAATTACAAACTATTTGAATCACGTAATATCGTGAATTATTAACTAAATATGATTTAGATATTATTCCGTTAACTCTAAACAAGTCATTTAAAACCTTAATCTAACTTAAATCTCATAATCGGGCCCATAACACAATATTTAAGCCCAACATTAAACTTTGTGCTGAAGAAGCTTCAAACTTGATTTCAACAAGTTTTTCGGCCTCCTTTTATAGGGCTTTTTACATCATGTTAATTGATGGTAACATTATCCCTGATATTTTAACACTAAAATCATTAAAAAAAACATTCAGAAATCAATTCCGATTTTAACCTTTTTATAACTTGGATTTCGATACTCGGTTTTTTCTTTAAAAAACTCAAAAATCAACCACTCAAATGCTTCTGTAAATCAAATCAGATCAAATGCTACTACCATTCTATGAACTTAAAATCGAACAAAAGTATAGAGATTTTATACCTCAAACGAAGCACTAAACCATGTTTGATATTTACCCCTTCCATCGTTCGATTTCTTTTTAAATACCCGACCTCATATGCAATTGTTTTCGTGTTTAGGTTCGAATTAATGAGGATTATACCGGAAGAATATCAAATTTGAGCAAGACAAACATATTCTTAATTATGGTAAGTGATTTTTAACTTAGGTGCTGTTTACTAAACGCTTACCCGGGTAAGCGTTTACCAAGTCACTTTACTTTACCGGATGAATATGACAAGGACTAAAAATCTTACCTGGTAATAGCGAAGACAACAATCAAGAGTCTTACCCGGTAAGTGAGAACGATGACTCTTACCATGGTTAGCGCTTACCGGGATAAACTGTTGCATACGATGCGTTTTAGTGAATAAAATCTTACCCGATAAGTAAATGATAGTGTTGAATTTTACCAATAAATGCTTACCGAGTAAGTGTTTAGGTTAACAGTCCGTAGAGACAATTTTAGTTTTGGACTTTGTGGTTTGTTGATTTTTTTGGATTGAATCCCAAAAGGAAAAGTATTGCAAAATGCTTGGTTTTCTTGGTTTTGGGTCCCTCATGACCCACATTCTACCCTTCCTCTATTTGCATTTTGTCCTTGTTATCATCACTACATAATTCTTTTAGTCTTGTTTTTAGAATTTCAATTATTTATATACTCATAAAATAGTTATCTTTTAATAAAAAAAATACTTAGAATTAGGTATTCATCGATAAAGTAAAGGTTTCATAAGTATTTGTGTTAATGGTAATTATATGCTCATAAAGTTAGGGTTTAATTTAATGTTATTTTACATGTTTATAAAGTAGAGTTCGATATTAAATAATGTGATAATTACTTGATGTTATTTATATATTTAGCGGGGTAGGTTATAGTTTACTGAAACATGACTTGTTTTATTATTTTCACTAGAAAAACATAACGATTTCAGAAAAGGAAAAATCAACATTGGCGGGGTTATGCAGTCTAGCTTTACTTGTTTGATGCATATAGAAACTAATTTGATTTATCTTCCTTTGAATAATCAATTCAGTATCAAATTGGTAATTGGTTTGAGCATAGGGTAAAAGCCGATAGAGAATTTTCTTGTCTAAAAGCCGACCCTGGTCATCAAAATTTCTAGATCCGCCACTGCCGACTCCCACACATCATGCAATGACTAAGAAATCATATTGTCGTTGTAGTAATATAGATGGGAATGTCTATAATGATGGACAAATGAAAGCTCCGACTCCTCCTCCCCTATGTTTTCTATGTCTCTTTCTGGTGAAACCCAACTTCTCCCTCTCTCTCTCTCTATCTCTTTCTCGATAGTCATCAGCTCTGGAAACACGATAATTTATGCAAATGCAAACCTTGATGAACATCAACAACCCTTGTTAATCTATGGTTCGTGGAATCTGATTCGTCGGGTAATCTATGATGTTTGAGTTTGATTTTGATATATTTAGAGTTTGGTTTTTGAATGAGTTTTTATAATGTTAGGCAATAAGATGTTATGTGTGGGATGATTTTGGGATGGGTTTAAGCAACCTAATAGGGAACCATACGAGAAACTGTGGGGATGGATAGAGAAATTGTGTAAATGAAAGGATTTGTTTTTGTTTCCTAATTTTTACTGATAGAGCGATGGAGAAGTGAGGACCCTATACAGAGCTGTTGAAAGTCATTGGTTTCGTTTTCTTATTTTCTTACCACTGATGCTCTCATCTCCTAATGGCGACATAATGGGCACTCTTATCGAAGACAGTGAGAAGGGGCTCTTTGAGGTGGGGCTTCACTATAGAGAAAAGGAGCCGGAGTTGAAGGAGAGGAGTCGGAGATGGGAGGCCGGCAAGGAGTTTATTACACCAAATGACCAATAACACTAAATCGCCAACAATATAGACATGCAAACAAGCATAAATATAAGCAAAATTGAATGGAATGAGAAGAAACTCTGCGCTTTATAGACAATACTGAAATCCAAGAACCTATGTGGCATGAACATATGAGATTCAGAGTTTAGACCTTGTGGTAAAAATTTAACAAGATTACCACATTGATATCTTTTTGGGTACGCCTTATCTCAATCTCATTTGGACTATGATCACACATCAATTCGTCGAATTATTATTACATTTTAATCACATTTATTTAATCAGACATGTCTTTACACAATTTTCATTCAAGTATCATCCGGATTAATAAATCAATGGTCAAGAGCTCAGTGAGTCAATAAATAGAAAAAAATGGTCGTTTGAATCCAATTTAACGAAAATAAGGTAATTGATATAGTTTTATAGTCAAAAAAATTTTAGGGAAAAGTCTAATAAATTTAATTGAGATTTCCTCAACTTTTCCCAAATTTTATGTTGGAAAAGTTTTATATGCAAATATAAACAGAATATGTAAATACGCCAATGAATTGATTATATGAGCTCATTCTTAGAACCTTAACGATTTGTAGTTCAAATCGGTCACTTCTTAAAGACTTGGGCATTTCGACCCACCTTTGAAATTATAAAAGCATCACCGTGACCAAATTCTACTAAGGGGGTGTTTGGTTCAGTCAGATTAATGAAAATGAGAATGAAAATAAAAATGATAGGGAATGAATATGAGAATGAATTTCCATTCCCACTCAGTTTAACATGTAATCAAAATTTAGGCTTCTGGGGGAATGAACTCATTATATTATATAAAATGAAACAGTTTCTTTTATTTTTTATTCTCATTGATTACTACTTAATACATCTAACAAAACACCCCCTAAGTTCTTTTTTTTTATTATCATACACGAATCAATTATAATTGGTACGTAAAAAATTTCATTATGTACTATCCAATCGTACGTAGTATCAATTTAATTGGTACCATCTTTTGTTGGTTAATACATGTTGATTTTATACCAACTTCAAATTACATATATGAAAATTTGCAATTTCATCGAAATTTATAAGTAAAACATCTCATGTTTAAGTGGGTTTTAATTGTATGAAGTAAAACTTGTAAGCATTTAAATGCGGAAACAAAAAGTTAAAGTTATTGTATTTATTATTCAATACTTAAAAAATATAAAACTAAAAAATAATTAATACTCGGTATCATGGTACTACTGGAATACGAGACTTCCAATATCGTGCACCAGCCAAGTTACCGTACTTGATGCAGTACACCGAACCGATTACAATTGATGTGATTATACTAGTACCAGCTTAATTGATATGACTGGTAATTAATTGATTTAATTTAATACAAAATTGTCGCCCTTACTCTAGATAATCAAGGACTTGTAACAAAATTGGACTTTGAATCAAGAAATTGGGGTTATCATCTTCTTTACCTAGTTGATGAAGTCCTACTCAATTCGGGTCATACCCGACCCGATGCCATTATTTCCCATTTAAACTTTTTACAAGCCATCAAATATTCGAAATCAACATCCATATTAGTAGTAACAGTAAGAGGTTGTTTACCAAACACTTGTCCTGTAAGTGCTTACCGGTAAAACTTAATACTATTATTTATTTATTAGGTAAAATTTTAATCCATCAAAACGACATTGTATGCAACAATTCACCCGGTAAGTGCTTACCGTGGTAAGAGTCGTCGTCCTCACGTACCGGGTAAAACTCATGGTCCTTGTCTCGCTCTTACCGGGTAAGATTCTTAATCCTTACCATATTCATCCGGTGAAGTAATGTGACTTGGTAAGCGCTTACTCGGGTAAGTGTTTGGTAAACGGCCCCTAAGATTTGTAACAATATTGGACTTTGAATCAAGAAAACTGACCTCTATTATATTATGAATTTAGGTCTCGTTTGGTTGGACGGAATATTTTTGAAGGATTTGAAATTGAAAAGATTTGATATTTTTTTTTGATGTGTATGGTTTGTACGATTTCTAATGAAACTGAATTTTATTCTTTATAGTAAATTTATAAAAATAAATTCTAAATAGTTATAAAATTAATAAAATTCCCTTTTATTAGTTGGTATAACAAAACGAATGTTTTTAATATATCTCAGAACATTATTAGACGCAAATAATGTGATATCTGTGAAATATCAACTATCCTCGTGGAATTTTAAATCCATTGTTTATGAGATTTCATTGAAATTATGGGATTTCAGTTTCACACTTTCCTTTAAAATACAAAGTAAAACATTACATTAATCGTCATCTTTTTCTCCGAATCTTTGTCAAATCTCGTCAATATTCGTTAATATATTAATGTTAAATTTATAAGAATGTTTAATAAAAAAATATCAATATTACTTAATGAACAAACTATTTGTATTTTTTTTATAACCAAAACCTCATTTAATAAATTATTTATACATTTTTTATAATCATAGTACAAAAAACATCAAAAAGCATGATGTAACATAAAACAATCTATAAAATTCATTGCAACATCACCAAAAAGCATTGATGTCTCATTAGTAATTACCAAAAACCAATTTCCTATTAAAAAATCATGCTCACAACCACCACAATTTTCTTAATAAGAAAAATCTAATTCAAGCAGTTGTACAAAATAATTGAAACTCGTAAAACCGTGATACTTTTAGACTCGTTATGTTTTTCCACTACGGCAATGGATGTATCCACATATGACAAAAAGTTCTACTAAAAAAAGGCCCATGTGGACGTAAAGGGACTCAACCATGATCAAACAGTTCCATTTTCTACTGATACACTGGGATCCCAACAGTCGAACCATTCTCTTCATTCCTCATCCTCTAGACACTTGAACAATGATACAGAAGTCCTTATAATCATCATATTTTTCGACATACGTATTAGAAGCTATGAAAATACCTTTAATTCAGTTTACAGTGTTGCACACATTTAATCTTGGATTTATAACGGCTAGATAACAAAAGTTTATGACAAATCTGTAAAATATTTTATAATTTATCATCATATCTGTAACTATTTTGAGCCATTTTGATACTTTGTTAAATAACTTGATATCAAATACAGTTTTCTTAGTAATAGAGGCACCATAAGAAAGTAAACACTTGATATAGTATTCGCTGAATTGTAGAATCTTCTAAAATATATAAAACAAATTGTTCGATAAATCCCAATTGTGTTTCATGATGTTACTTTCCGTTTCTTGCATAGAAAATTTCATAGGTGATTATTTTTACCAATGTAAACGCTCGATAAGTTTACGTGTTGATTTCCATTTAGTCGGCATGCTTGTTGACTGAATTGTCAGTGTTAACCAGTTTTTCTTATTCGTTTTGGTCCTCTTGAAAATTGGCCTAATTTATTTCTGGATGTAGCTTTTTCATAGTTTCTCATTATAGAGTTCTCACTTGCAGTTGTCGTTTCCCCCATATTTTGCCCCATGATTAATTTTCCTATCAATTACTCTATCAACGACAACGAAATCCACAAGTTCTCATATTAGAGTTTTGCATCTATTGTTGATAATAAATTGGATGTTTTAAGGCATCATATGTGTGAAAATGGCTTCGACGTTGGAATAGGTGGAATACATGTGTTCGGATTGACCTTTTATGTGATTCGTAATATAAATGTTTGAATGAATCAACGAAACGTAGGCTCAAAAACTATAATGGACATAAAAAAAAGAGAATGAAATATTGCTACTGGATTTGAAATTGCAAGATTAATAGAAAGTAAAGATTTTGGATTAAACCTCAGAGAATGTAGTGGAAAATATCATCTACCTTAAATTTGAATCCAGACTTTGTCAAATCCCTTGTGGTAATGCAGGTTCATTTATTATGAATCCAGACGATCTTGATCGTCCGAGGAATTAATCGGTGCACATAAGCTGGCCTGAAAACCCATAGTTACTAAAACAAATTAGATATAAGAGAAGTCAATTATAATTGTGTGAATAACCCAAAAATCTACTCGTACAAACAACAAACTCGAATTCTTGATATTTCATATCATATGTATATTGAGAGGGGTAAAATGGTAAATTGGTAAATCGAGAAAGAAAAAATAGTTCTTAATACCAGAATTCTCCTTTAAAATGTGATTGTAACCAATCTTAAATTTAAATAGGGCAATACTATTTGTACCCCTTTAATATCATAATCAGGTCAAGTCATGCATGAAGAATGTAAAAAGCAGATTTTGATGTTGATGTATATGAGAAAAAAAAAATCACTTGATAGAGATGCATTTAACAATGTATAAGAGCGCAACTAGTCTCCCCCTTTCCAAATACCGGACAAAATACACATCTTGGTCAAAAATGTCCTAATTAGTTCAGACCCACCATATTCTAAAACTAGGACAACCACCACTCGTTAAGCCCTCACAAGTCCTAATTTATAACCAATTAATTGAATTATGAGACTACTTGGTGTCTATTCAGTCTGATCGCAATCAGTCGGACCGACCTTCTTGGATGTGTTTCAGGTTGGATTCCTGATCAATTTGTAGCACGTTTGTGCACCTATAATTAATATTTATATTCTAAATTTCCTTTTTTCTTTTTTTTTTGATTTTATGTCATGAACTCATTTTTTTTTTTTAAAGCAACGGATAAAATATATTAAAACCCAAAGAGCTCACGCAGATGATAGAATAGCCAGTAACGGGCGTTCGACGAACATTACCTGTTAATGAAGAGCGATGATGGATTACCGGTCCATATTTCTCTCGAAATGGAACCCTTTCTATGTCGTCTCGAACACGTATAGTTGGATTTCGATAAATGAAATCACGACGAAAGATGTTGATTTCATGAAAATGATGTTTAAATTTGATAGCAAAGTGGCTAAATTGAAACTTGTAAAATCAGGGTCGTCTTTTAGCATGTTAAATGTGAGATTTTGAACAGTTTTGGGGCCCAAATTTACATGTGTTTAGGGTCTTTTTATCGACT